TTGATGACGTGCCTTGCAGTGACACTCCCCACATAAAGCGTACATGATTAAAGTAAACTAACCGCTTCCACCTACGTAGAATCACCCCCCCTACATGTACTTCACGGAGCTCGATTTTTTTTATTAATCCTTTCACTGCTTAGCCCACAAAATTCAGTCAATTCACTTTTCAGTATATTCTGTGAAGCGCTTTGAGACATCTCAAAGATGTGATAAGGCGCTATATCAAATGCAAGAAGTATTATTATTAGAGCGGACACTTTATGTTGAATGTGCAATATTTCCTTTGCTTTGCGCAGTTTAAGATTGAGTAATTCAAGCTTGCTTTCCTAAAGCAAAACCCCTTCTCGTGCCCCCCTCTTTATTTGCCTGATGTCTGAAGCTGCCTGTTTTAAATGGGTTTATTTTTAAAATTACTCCTTTGAACTTCAGGTTTGTCAGGTATACATGAAAGCTGTAAAATGTGACTTGCTATCAAATCGCAGCTGTATTGCCTGGTGGGGCTTCTCTGCAGAGCCAACACTTTCTTAAATTAAACAGTTTCAGACCCCGGGAGTTCAGAAATTTCAGCTGACTTTTACTGTCACTAGTTTGAGCACCTTTATCCCCAGGCGAGCAGCAGCAGCTGGAATTTATTTCCTGCTGCCAGACAGTCCAACTGCTTTACGATATATCCAGAAATTCACTGTCTTTAATATCAGAATCCTTTATTCGAGGTGACAGCTGCTCACACTTTGCTATACAGAGCACCTCAAGTAGCGGAGTTATCAGAAAAAATGAGTGTCCCACCATTACAAGCTGAAAATTTAGAATGACTGAGGTTATCCCTAGGCCTCTGGGCCCCAACCTCCATGACAGAACAACCGCTGGTAACATAAAACTTGACTACACTTTGTAATGATGTTGGGAAAGGGGGGGTGGTGGTGGGGGCTGTTGAGGGAAAGTAGTCGGAGAAGCGGCAGTGAATACTGCAAGTGATAGGAGATGATGTCAGATTCAGTTAGGAGCGCAGACAGTGTTGGAATATGGTTGGCACTAATATGGTACCAGTATCTCTCTCCTCATCTCTGTTTTCTGTCACTGCTCACAATTCTAGGCCTGTCTCCACAACTGACAATGTCTTTTCAGATCACGTTATTGCAAGCGCAGAGTGCACTCAGCACAGCATCACTCAGCTCCTTTGTTTGAAGTCTGGTCTTTTGTCATTAATGCACTTGATATCTATTTAAAACTGACGGAGAATATGGGATCTGTTTTCCTGTCTAGAGATCATTGACAATATTAATACCACATGTCCTTGCTTCATTTTCTAAGCGCTGACACCTAGCTGCAGTCTCTTACATTCATCAAGTGGCTCTTTCACCAGGATGTCTGTTTGCAGTCCTGTTTCTAATCCATCAGTAACACTAGTGGATTGCAATCACCAGCTGTTAACAGAGCCTACGAAATGTATTCTTAACAAGCCGCTTTATTTTTATTTATCACGAGGGCAGGGAAGTGTGTACAATATCTTAACTTTTAAATGACAAAAGTCCAAAGTGTTTGTTTGCAGAATGGATCGGTCTGAATTGCCCGAAGGCATCGAGGCTCGAAGAGGTTGACGTGATGTTTCTTTGTGCTTTCACAGTCCCATTCGTAGCCAGTGCCCTTACCTTTAGCAATCGGGTGGTTCCACCTGAAATGAGCTGCTCTGTTGACCTCAGAAGGTGAAAGTTCAATGGCTAACCAGCTCACTGTGAGGTTGTCTTGCTGCGTTGCCACTCTGTTTGGACTGACGACAATACAACAATGACATGCTTTATATAACGCCCCTCATACAGAGTAGTGCCTCAGAGCACTCAGTGAGTGCTGACGACATCATTGAGTTCTGCAGATGGGTTCATAGTCTTCAGTACGCTGCTCCACTTTTTTTAATATATTTTCTAGAAGAGCTCAATAAAAGTGTTGTCAAATCTGCCCCGAAGATTGAGGTATGTGTTTAACGTAAAAGAGTCAGTCCCAGCCATAAGAAAACAGTGGTCGCTGAGCCAGCGAAAGCCCTGCACGGTTCACCAAACCGATCAACAAGCCTGGCATTGCATCTGCAGTGCAGAATGAATCCAAAAATATTTATATTACATTTGAGCGTCATGTCAAACGGGAAACATTAACTGTCTTTCTATGGCTGGCATTGTCCTCCTGCAGTGTCCGCACTCTTTCCTCACAACTCCAACACTGCACTGCAGCACACCTGTAAATTTATCACTTGTTCCTTCATCCTGTCGTTGCCATCCAGCGAGATGAAAGGATAGAAACTGCCTAACTTTTCCTTTAAAAAAGCACATCAATTAAAAGAATAATAATCCTTGTGTTTGATATACCACCTTATCACGTCAAAACATTTCAAAGGCTTTACTGTAAGATGTGGTGACTGTGCTTGTAGACACACGTGACAGCTAATTTGTGTATCAACAACCGTGAAGTGAATTGTTTTTTAATTTAATTGGGAGGAATGTCGGCCAGACATGGGGATAAATTAAGTGTAACAGGATCTTTAAAGTCTACCTGAACTGGCAGGCACTTATTTTCTTATTTTTAAAAAAAATTGTCCTTAATTTTTTCTCCTCTCCTGAAAGAGTCTTTGTTGATATATGGTTCCAAAGCCAGCACCCGATCTCCTAAACTGGGGCACTGAGTTGCCCCACTGTTCAGCTTGTTGACAGCGAAGGCACCCAGCTGAGCTTCCATCAGATGCACATTTTCAGCAGGCGTCGCTGTTGGCAATAATAATAACCCTTGCATTTGATATAGCTCCTAATCATGTCTTTGAGACGTCTCGAAGTGCTTCACAGAGTATACGGTAAAGTGAATTGACTGTATATTTTGTAAGCTAATTGCAGCAGCCATTTGTACACAGCAGTGTCCCACAAAAAGTGGTGGATTGAGTGATTTTTTTATAAAATTTTTTTTGAAGGGATTATTACACCTGGAAAAGCAATACCCCAGTCGTGGAAACACTAACAACCGAGTTCCTACTTACTGCTACGTAATCAGAGCCATGGAGTAAGGAAACTTCTCTAAGGTTTTGCCCTTCTCGGGAATCAAACCAGGCTCTCTCGCTTGCGAGGCGAGTGCTCTAACCAATACGCTACAGTTGGTTAGCGTTACATCACTATCCACTAGGCAATCAGAAGCAGAAAACCTGCTGGCTTACGATGATTTCCCCAAAAATCAGAGTCCCAATGTGTGTCTATTTTTTGCCGCACCGCATGAGTTTATTGAAGTCATGAGAAACGTAATTACATTTTCGCGTGGGCTGTTGCCAACGGGCAAGATTGTTACGTGATTCAGAATTCAGAATTGCAGTTCGGTGATGAGGGTCGCAGGGTAGTGAGTTCAGAGTGTCAGCTGGCCAGCTGGTGTCCACATTGTGGAGTGGGTAGGAAATAAGTTTTGTGATTTCCTTTTTTTTATTTTCTAAAAGATATTCTCCAAGAAATTAATGTTGCTGCAATGATTAATTCAAACTGACAGAAAAGAGGGCTGCCATCAAGTATGCATTAAATATGTGTACCGTGTGATCCAACCCATGTCAGCTGATCCCTCTGAATTAAATAGTGTTGTTTTTATTCCCCGTGATTGCCTAGTGGGTAGTGATATGCTACTACCCAACAGGTTGTAGATTTGATGCCAGGTCTGTACCGAGTTTGCTTACGTTTGCCAGGGGACGCAGAGCATCCAAGTAATCAGGGACCCTGCCCTGCGTGAGGGGTGCTATATAAATGCAAGTTGTTGTTGTTGTTGGAGTTGCAGTTGAGCTGCTGTAGATTGGTTCAGATCGGAAGGGGTTGGGAGAGGGAGAATCTCTATTCAGAGACCCCTTGAAAAAACTGCGCAGGTAGTCATCAGCTAGGGACTGGATCAGACTCAATTCTGATGTCAAACCATGGTCGTTCGTATAGGTTGGTGTCAGTGCTGTCAAGACTCACACATGAATAATGTCTAAGGTGCTGGAGGACCCCCAGTAGAAGGAAGGACAGGTCAAACAATTTCAGGAGAAGAGAAATTGATAGAGATTTAAGTAGTTAGCTTAATTACTCGACTGTTATCTGGTCATTCTTACCTGTGGAACTAAATCCTATTTCATAGCTTGCTGCGGCGAACACAGTGTGGTGCGTAGCAAAGAATATTGCAATCATCACAGAGTGATCTGCTTTTATTTAAGTCAAGTTCACACTTTGGTACAATTCACTGTGTCCCATCTCCCCACTCCCGCCCTTATCCCCAACTCCTCCTGCTATTCCTCCTCCTGCCCCCGCCCCCACCTCTTGGACCGGCCCATCAGTGAGTTTTAAACTTGAGCTCAAAAGTGCCCTCAACCATGTCATTTTCAGCTCTTGTGCCTGTCTTTTGTTTGCTCTTGGGTTGTCCAATTAATGATGGATTGTTGGCCTTTTTATTTTGTGAATACAAGTGATCGTCCACTTGAGAGCGGACTAAGATTAGCTGAAATCCTTTCACTGTGAACTCATATAATAGGCACAGTAGAGATGAGACTTTCATCCCGTCTGTGTAGGGCAAGTTCAAATTCAGAGGTGAAAGGAAAATGTTCTAACCCACTGTGCAATCCAGTCCTCTGGCTATCAAATTTATCTGTAGGCTCTGTTCCTATAGATAACCTTATCTTTAGGCTTTGTGTCTTTCCATGCTCCCTCTGTGACAGGCCGACTAATTGAACTGCTTAGTGTGTCACGCAAAACAACTTCATTCCCATCTTGGCCTAAAGGTGGAATTATCAACTTTTGGATGGAATCTCCCACCTCAGACGGGAAATGCATCCATTTGCCTGGCTTGAGGGATTTCTCTTCCTCTCATGCTCAGCGAAGGCATGTCAAATTCAGGTGCACAGAAGAGAGTGGGTGTCTGAAAGGGGGGAAAAGTAGGGGTGGGGGGGTGGGAGAAACTATCATTAAGTGTACAACGACAGACAATCTATTCACCGCGGGCATTTTTTTTTGTAGGTATTTTGGCAAAATGTCACTACATCTACCGGGGAAGGCACTCTGAGGGGAACAGATTCATCCGTGACGACCAGCTTTAAAGTAGGATTCTTTTTGCCTGCACGTTTGCACCTCTTTGCAATGTGAAAAAAAGTGAAAAATTATTTCCAAATAAAAAAAACACGGAGATCACAACTTCAGCCTGCTCGTGCCTTCTGCTGACTTTGCCTTGCCTGTCAAGATCAACCTTTCAGTCTAGTCTGAGCAGTCACATAGAGATTGACATGATTGCCTTTAAGCAGGTCCCTTCTATTGGCATGACAGACAGCTGCACTGAAGCTCCAGGCCTGACAGGATGAGCTTCATGATGGATTGCCTGGTACAACTGCAGCTCGTGGGAGGGCAGAGGTCACACCTGAGGTTGAACTGAGCATGCTTATTGCATTGCACCAAGTTCCAGAAAGTCACATTAAGGCCTTACGCCACTCATTACAATGACTTGTTGTTGAGTAATGGGGAAAATTCTGTATCATTTTATAGATGACTGTGGACATGGTGAAATGAATAGTCATATTAAACCGTAAATCCCATTTGACTGACCAACATTATTTCAGGGACTTTATCCTGATTTATCTTTTGCCTTATGGGTCTTATTTTGAGCTTGGAAGATTAAATATCAACTCCATTAGATGAGATTCTGTCTTTTACTTTGATCAGTGAGGGCTCACGAACAAAATTGACAACTCGAGCAGGCTGAATAGATTGCACTTCTATCACTATGGGGTTTTGAGTTTTGATATATTGACAACTAAGCCTACCTTTTCCAAAGCTCTTTCTTTAAAAACAACAGTGCACCATTTGTAAAGGTAAAATATTTGTTCCCTTGTACTCTGGGCCACTTAGCAGAATTTGAGCCAAATTTGTGATTTATCCCCTAACATTTATTTCTCGAAGAGGGAATAAAATTGCCCCATACTGTTGCATACATCCTCCATGCTTGAATTTTTGAAAACGAGATTCAATGGCATCTTTGGAGAAAGAGATCTTGCCTTTTATTGATGAAAGTGAATAAAATGCGGAAACAAAACAATTTAGCTGAAGCAGTTAAATGCAGTGGCTAAACTTGTCAGCTACTTGTTTCTCTTCATAGCTTTGCTGTTTTGTGATATTAAATAGAGCGGCTAAATGTTTTGATGTGCGTGATTTTCTCAACAGAGTTGCTGTTTTGTCCTATTAAATAGACTCTGAACTTTCTGCTCCGGGTGTTTTTCTCCACAGTTGTTACTTTGTGCTATTATAAGATGGAGTCAACTTTTGGATAAATGCGTTTTTCTATTCAGCATTACTATTTTGCAGTATTGAAGCAGATGATGTACTAAGAATTTTGTGTGATCTGTTTTCTCAGCAGATCTGTTGAAAATGTTTACAGTGATGAGTAATGTTTACTGTAAAGCCAATGACCTGTCCAAACAATATGAAGTTATTGCAAGTAATATTTACACATATTAAGAATATTATGTTTTCATTGTTTGTGTTTAAAGACTGATCAAGTAAAATTCCTTGCCTGACTAGTTTGTGTCTGACACAGATTGGGTCAGTTTGCATTTATGCAATTTACAAGACATGTTTTCTGCAGTCTTGTTATTTGGCTCGGTTGTGGGTGATTTGTGTCTAAAATAAAATCATTTGTTTCTCCGTGAGAACTAAATTGCTGCATTCTTTGGTTGTCTGAAGATAGTACATTCTACGTGAATTTCCGGATCTTTTGTTACCAGCATACAGTGGCTGCATGTATGGTCAGTGACACGCATGAATCACATTGCATGTCCCATGACTTCACTGATGCCAGCAATTTTAAAGCCATCAGGGGTTCAAAATGTGGGAGACAGCTCTAATGCTTTCAAATGTGTAAATAATTTTTGTGTGGGAGTATACGTGACATGAGAAAATGTTAGTGGTGGCTCACATTTTTAGTTTGCAATTCTGACAATTACCGCTTGAAATTTACAGAAATGGACTGCTGAAGTTTCTGTATTCCTTGCGATTCTTTGTATCTTGTGTCTGAACTGAGCCCAGATCGATATACAGTGAGCCAAATGTATTCAGCCTGAATTTTGTGAGGGGTGGGGGGTTGGGTGGAGGGTTCGGTGGAATGTTTCCTTTTGTGATCTGCGGTCCTTATATCACCAACAAACCCCCACATCAATAACAACATCCGTTGGAACATTTTCTCAGACGGCAGGTTTTGATTCAGGTTGATGCAAAGGTCAGGGGAACATCAACATCAGAAGCCTCACAAAGAGAGTCTGCACCCCCATCCTTATATGTGAATAGAAAACAAGTTTGTGCAATCCACAAAGGGCATAAGAAATTCCTCTTGATTTTGATTCTATTTTGGGGAAATAGTGCCACTGGAACAGACAGATGGGATCTTGATTTAACACCTTGATCAAAAGATGGCACCTCCAATAATGCAGCACACCCACTGCACTGTTCTGGAGTACCAAACATGAGCTTGTGAGTCACATATAGCCTTTGTTACTATTCACACCATTTCTAAAAGAATCTTTACAAAAACTTTGGTGGAATTGGAAAAAAACTTTGCACAATACCATACAAGAGGTTTTCACGCCACACCAATTTGATCTGGAGGCAGTGCACAAATGTAACCCTAGGTGTCAGCCTGGCTCAATTGTTAGCAGTTTTGCCTCCGAGTCAGAAGGTTTATGGGTTCAAGCCCGAGGTCAGGACTTTGTGAATTAACAAGAATCCTTGCATTTGATACAATGCCTTTGTTATTATGACACCTCGTGCGTTCGGTATGTCTATCGCATCTTCCATAAGAGTTGTGGTTGAACACTATGCAGTCATCACTGCTGAAGTCCGGAGCTGCGGGTGTTAGGTGAGGATAGGGTCTGGCTCAGAAGTGAAGACCCAAGGTTGAATAATCCACTAATACTGACGCATGAAGGGCTCCCTCTAGAGCGGATTACTAAATAGCTCACTTCGCCTGTGGAACTGTATGCCATCATAGTCCCATCTGAGCCTCAAGGATAATAATAGCAATCCTGCATTTAATGTATCACGTTGTTGAGATGTCTCACAGCGCTTAGCAGGACATGCTGGAAAGTAGTTTGACTGTATTTTGTGGGCAATAACATGGTTTGAGGGGAGAAAATTGGAGGAAGACTGAAGTCGATGGGCGGATTGCCTTTCTGGGGATAATAACAACTTTTTTAAAAAAATCCACAACTGTCTGTGGGACACTGCTGTGTGCAATTACTTTCTGCGTTTCGCCCACAAAATGCACACTTACAGTATATCTTGCAAAGTGCTTTGAGACGTCTTAGTGATGTGATAAGGCGTTATATCAACTACAAGGATTATTATTGTTATTATTATGAAAACAGCACCGTGAATAAATTGTGGACTTTTTTAAAAAGTGTAACTGCAGCTTCTTAGTTGTTCACGAAATGTTAATTCAGCTATATGTTTACAACTGCTGTTGCTGCTTAGATCAAAATGACCTCTCCAACTTTTACTTTGTAATTCTCATATGGCAAATATTCCAGTGAAATGGAAAAAAAAGGACAGGAGCATGAAGGAAGTCATGTGTATTTGAGTTGTGCTCATCAATCTTTAGAAGCGGCACATCACAAAGGTCAAATATAGCCTGGCGCTAAATCTTCTCTAGCGTTGCTTCCTATGAGAAAATGTGCACATTTTCTTTTTGACGTTTTTAAAAAAAATTGGTCATTACTGCATACATTTCCAAATGGCCATGTTTATTTGTCCATGTTTTGATATGTTTAGAGGGAGAGTTGGTGTGACAGTTGCAAGAGGGAAGGAAGAGGGAGAGAGCTTACAACAAGTTTACCCCGCAAAATGTCATCTCTTGCCTGGCTGGGATACAGAAAGAACCTAATGAAAAGAGCAGACGGTTTAAAAGTTTCTGACATGTGTCAGAGGCGCTGCCATTGAGCCAGTGCTGCTGATGTAGCGAGGGATGACAGCATCAGAGGGACTGGAGCTGGCTGCGGGACATTGCGAGTTTGGTGTGTGTCGCTTTCGATCCTTGTTCATTGGAAGTAAGTAGAAGGGAGGGAGGGAGGGAGGGAGGAGGGAGAGAAAGCACTTTTTCATCAGGAGCAGAGCTGCGGGCTTCAGCGTTGAGTGACAGATATGAACCAGTACAAATCCGCTGAAAGCTCGCAGCGGAAGGCGGATTGACATTCAGATTGATAGCACAAGGTGTTTAGGTATTGGGATCGAGTGAGATGTTCTAACTAATCACCGCGTGTGCAGAGTTAGCAGCGTTCTGTACCTGTAGATATCAGCAAAGGCTTGGCCCAGGGATGCACTCACTCGGAGGGGAAGAAAGCAAGCCTATTTCTGGAAAGGTTTCAGATGAGCAGCATTTGTCATTGAGGGGGAGATGAGTGTAATTAGCTTGTCAGTCTAGTTTGGGCTGAGTTGGCTTGCAGTGGTAAGAAAGATGGACTGACTGCCAGAACAGCTGACAGCCAGTCGATAATGCAGCAATTAATGTCATAAATAATTCTGGAACCAATTACATCAAAATGGACTCCATGCTTTGAAAAAGAACAGTATTCCCTTATCATTTCTCCTAACAGCAGGAACAGCTTTCATTTTTCTCAGTAATTACTTTTTATTGTACACTATAATACAATGGTACAGTTCTTACCACATTTGGATTTTTCTCTCCCAATTCCCCCCTCCCCACCCCATCCCTCCACACAGATACAATTTTAACAACCTAGTGATAAAACAGGCTATAGTGCAATTCTGTGTCATGAAATCAGTTTGCTCCCTTCTACATCCCAGTGGTAAACAACAAGAGAGAGAGAGAGTGGGAGAGAAAGAGAGGGTGAGGAACTTCTGAAAAACGGCGTTAAGTGTAGTCTTTTCCCTAAACAAAAAAAAACACTTAAAGTTGACATTTGGAAATGAAGACGTTTATGAAATAAATGGATTGATCTTGGTATTTTGCAGCTTCCTTAACACTACAGCTAACACAAGCTTTATTGATTTCTTGTCCCCATTGTTGGAACATGAAAGCTAGATAAGACAATTCCCCGTATAGCAGAGCACAAAAGCAGGAGGTGACTCAGGAAAGTGCCCCCTTTTTTTCCTTAAAGGCTACCTATGATTATTTTCATCCTTTCCTATTGACAGCTTAGAATGCTGAAGGTCATTGGAGGAGACTCGGAATATCTATGTCACATGTTTTTTTTATTGTTGTCACATGGCATTAATCTTCCAGCCTGTATGTGTACAGTGTCAGTAATATAGGAGAAAATATTGGTTAAATACATCCAGTACATTTATAAGCCGCTGAAGGTCAAACTTGATGTAATATAGTGTTCAAATAGTTACGTCTCAAGGTCACTGCGGTTTCCTGTTCATAATGTATGAATATTGAAAGTCTCATAGACTCCAATCAGCCGACCTGAACCTTGGAACAAAAATTTTACTAAGTAAATCAGTGCATGTTCTGGCACTTCTATTAACCTCTAATGCACTGCTGACAGTAAATGAGTAATGATAAATAATATGACGTGGTTGCAAATCACTTTTAGTACCATGGGCAAAAGAACTGTATTGGCATACAACCATCTGTTAATATTTAAGCTTTTATTTTTTTAACTGGTGAAATTAAACTATATTTCCAGCAAGGAACGGCTGGTAACAAATGAAAAGAAAGCTTAATAAATTAGCTTTAACCCCTTGAGGGCTGCGGTTACAAATTCACTTTAGATTATTCAGACATTCCCTCTGTGATTGAAACAGTACAGCCCCGCAGTTTTGCGCATGTCGCCCGTTCCCTATTATAATAAGTGGCATTTGCAATTGAAGCCTGTTTTTTTTTTGCTGTGGTTGCAGATACCACACAATGGAAAATAATATTTCAAAACCTGTGACAATAAAACAAAATCTATCCACCAAGCGAGCGCTGCAGTCAGTCACAAGCAACACATCGCATCATTTTAATGGCTTATTTATTATCTTCTCAACCACCCAAAGTAAATATCTCACTCCTCCCTCCCCCATAAAAAGGGATTGTAGTTCTGCCCTCGAAACCAGATCCAGAAAGTTGTGTGTGTGTTTGTGTGAGATTGACTCTCAGTTATTGAAATGTAATTTAAGAGAGTGCAAGTGAAGGGAATGCTGGCTTCTCTGTAGTGATGCCGTATTTACTTACGCCAACCTGACAGCTATGGGATGGCTGAAGTTTATACATTTACTGCAGTATAGATAAAGCTCTTGTGTTGATGCAGTTTCACAGGAATGCACAGTGACACCAGTGTATGTGTCCTCACAATACCCCAAATCGGTCCTCAGGAACAATTGATGTTAAAGGATATTTTTGAGCGCTGAAAGGGTTTTGGCGGGGATAAAGGCAGGGTTGTGAATGAAATCACCAGGTACAGATTATATTGTGTAAGGACCAACGTGGGATTAAAAATATTCGAGACGTAAGGTTGTCTGGACAATTTCTGAATGCTGAAAGTTCACAATATTCATCTCGCAAGTGTAGATAAATGTCCTAGTGCACATCCATTTCTCCTAAAGTTTGTTTAAACTCCTTCTACTGTAGTATGTTTTCAGCTGGGACCATGGATAAGAGTGATTTTGGACTATGGCGTGTGGTGGAAATGTGATTTTTCTTTCTTTGGGTCCT